CGGCTGGGAAATGGAATGAGTGGATGAGAATAAGACACCTCACTACCAAGCAAAAAAATTATGCTAGTACCAAACATACTAATTTTTCTCATATGAGAGAAATGGGTAGGATTGGTATGAAGCACAAGTTTTTGTGCTTGGTAGTGAGGTGGCATATTCCCCTCCACTCATTGAAATCGGGGCTCATATTCACATGGGTTGGGTAGTGTTGGAATTGCTTAAGGTGAGATTAGAAAATAGGACACCTCCACTACCAAGCACAAAATTGCTGTGGTACTAAACATACTCATTTTCTCTCTGATCTCTTCTCATATATATATATATATATATATAATATATATTATATATTATATATGAATGGTAAAAAGTGTTCCTAAGGTGACGCCTTAGATAATCATCTAAGGACGCGGCCTAAAATCACATGAATGATCTGCATTGTGGATGATCCGTTCTATTGAACTTAATCTACGTATTCTAAAAACCCAACACACCAAGTTTGGGGTGAACCCATCGTCGGTTAACTTCCGTCGAGCCATGTGAAAAGTTCTATTCATTCGAAACCGTTAAAATTTATACGAGTGGATGAAGGGTCAAATGACGACGGGTTCACCCACATTTAAATGTGCGGATGTGAAGAATCCACATCACTACCAAGCAGCAATTTTGGGCCATTTCATCGTATGAGAGAATCCCCTTGATATGACATATGATACCTATTAACCTCTCCGCACAGACGCACACACCACACACTATGACTGGGTGTTCTATTTACTATATTTTTTTGGAGATTTTCCATGATACTTACGGTTGCTTTCTTGAGCTCATGAATCTCTCCCAAAGCAACCTCACTAAGAAGCATGAGACCAACTGGATCATTTCTGTCGACAAAGCAGTACTGTGCACTTTTGCTAACCAGGTCAGCAAAATAAATTCCTTTGCCAAACTATCAAGCAAAATTAGAGAGTGAGAACCAACTCAATTTAATAAAAATATAGAAGCAGCAGGCGAGGATAGAGAGAATACCATGTACCCTGTTGCTGGAGCTTCAGGAGGTGCTATTCTTAGACCTTGGCTAAGAATACCCACAAAGTTTGTCAAACGAGAACCTGTCAAGTGTATAATTGGTTACATATTTCTGCTGGAAAAAACTGTACCAAGTGCCTTTCCGCTTTTAATTTTTATTTTCCTAAATATGTTGTCTTCGTTTGGCATCCCCATATACTAGGATTGAAATATAATTTTTCTGACTTATAAGAAAAAACTTAAAGCAACTAGAAATATGGGACAAATCCAATAAGAGATGCTCCTCCACTGCCAAGTTGACTGGAAAAATCACTTTGGTCTACCAAACAACACGCCTTTGATGTCATTCTCAGGGATTGATGGGTGTACACAAACTAATGCAATTCAATATTCTCAAATAGTCCTAGAATCCGCTTGTGAAGTCTAAATGCACCACACACAAAGAGCTTAATACTTGCATGCTTGCAACATCAACATTATATGAAATCCTTAGGTAATTTTATCTAGAAAAATGTAATATGGGAACTACAAACTAACTAATCAAAATTTGACTGTAAGAACACATAAAAGAAAACAAAATGAGAGAACAGGAAAGGGAAAGGTAAAAGCTACCAAGAATAGAATGTCACATGTTTTCATCCTATAGATAAATGCACGGAAAAGTTGCATTTCATTATAGCCAATAATCTTAGCAGAGTCACTTGTCTACCAAGTATTTAAGTATTTGTAGATCCTATAATGTTATATGTTTAACTATCGCAACATACCATGCCATAGCAGCATCTTATTCTTGAGTTTATCGCGATGTGGCGCATACTTATCAAATTCTCCTTCTCTCTCAAGAGAGAAAACTTCTTCAAGTTCAAGGCTCCATTCCTGATAACATCATCAGGAATCAGTAATTACAAACACAATAACGAGCAACCGACTACATTTTTCATTCAATTTGGTTTATGGAATGCTCAACCTTATGGGTCGGAGCGTGAGTATTAAGAAGATACTTCTCAATCAGTCGATAATCTTCACTACCATGAGGAAGTGGAGCAATGTTACAGTGAAGCTTCTTGTACTTCTCATCAAGAGATTCATCATCTTCACTATCAAAATTCACCAGTCTAGAAGCAATTTCAATATCTTGAAGAGCTTCTAGCATTTTCACCTGAAATTTGAACAATCATATTGTTTCTATCACCTGTCGCTTATAACAGTAACATACAAATAGTTTTTCTAAATTCCCAGGTAGAGGAATTGAACTAACTCAATGAGTGAAAGAGAATAGATATGAAAGATGAACAGGAACCTAAGTAGCTAGCAAATCCTTCTACTATAGACAATACTTGTTATTTCAGAATCACTGGTTCTGAGCTAACTCAAATGAATGAGCTAACTCAAATGAATGGATGCAAAAATAGACGCAATGATGACAGTAAACTAAATATTGAGCTTTTTAGAAAGTAAATAATAAAATTAAGTTGTTGAGAAGAAAAAATAAGTTAAGCCATTGCTACCAGAACTACAGAAGTTAATACCAATTGAACAGATAAAAGAACACTGAAACTAATAAAGGCAGTGAAAAGAAAAATGAGGAGCCATGCAAGTGGGACCTGTTTCATATGTATGTTGCGCCACAGCAACTAAGCCAGGTAAAGAATTGTGTCACATATTAAGGTTAACAGTATGTTAAACAATAAAATATTATAGATTCTCATTCATATTTCAAAAGCTACAACTACGCCCCTTCATATAGAGATGCAATAACAAGAGTTTATTGCATAGTCAATGTAGGACTAAACACAATTACCTAATTATAATTATTCTCTTAGTCACATTCTTAATATCACTCAATCACCAAATCTCTAATTTATACCCCTAATGTATTATTCCTAATATATAACTCTAACATTATATATCTTTATAATATATTCCTTAACACTCCCTCTCAAGCTGGAGCATATATATCATATATGTCCAACTTGTTACAAACAAGATGTACTCACTCCAATTTGTGACACGACTTGAAAGGCTGAAATCTTTGTGTGATCTTCTCATAATAGTTGTCTTCATCTTCTAGTCTTCTACTTGAATGTCTTCCACCACAAACAACCTCAGCCAAAATCACCAAATGCGATACCTCGATCTTCTTCACAGATCGACCAAGTAATTACCAAACAAACGATCCTCACTCGAGACCCACCAAGCAAACGATCCTCTCTAGGAATTCAGCAAACAAATGATCCTCTTCACGGATCAACCACGATCCTCTCTAGGGATCAACCAAACAAAATATTTTCACGGATCAACCAAACAAACGATCCTCTTCACGGATCAACCGAACAAACGATCCTCTTCGGGATCTAACAAACTAGTGATCCTTCTTTAGGGATCTGCTAAATAACTGTTTGCTCTATAACGATCCACCAAACAAATGAAGCTAAGAAAAGCTAAGAAAGTAACCTTCATCGAACCAAACTCCAAACTAAACCTTGATTCAATCAAAATCTTTTTTTCGGTAGCTAATGGTGGTCAAGGTTTCTAGAATATAAGCGACAGTGGCAGTTGTGTCAACAAGTTGAGTAGGTGGTGAACAAAGGGAAATCGAGGCCGCATAGACTATGACGAGAATATATACATCGAGGATGACTACTACTACTACCAATAATGGTAAAGGGAGGAGTTTGATGGTGAGGGATTGGAGAGCTACAACTATTTGTATAAGGATAAAATAACAAGAAGTTTATTTTGTAGTTAATGTGGAGGCTAGGGTTTGCGTGGCTCTGATACCATGTTAGATAATAAAATATTCTAGATTCTTATTCATATTTCAAAATCTACAACTACTCTTTGTATAAGGATACAATAACAAGAAGTTTATTTTGTAGTCAATGTAGGACTAAACACAATTACTTAATCACAATTATTCTCTTGATTACATTCCTTATATCTCTCAATCACCAAATCTCTAATTTATACTCTTAATATATTATTCCCAATATAACTACAACATTGTAGATCTCCATAATATATTCCTTAACACAGTACAAAATATTTAAAGCCAACTAGAAAATTTACTAAGAAGTACCACAATAAAGCGTTCAAATATATCATCACAAATTTACAAGCAGAGTTCATGATTTCAAATTCACCGCATTCTTCAAAAATCATAAATACATATAAGATGTTTAGTTTGAGAAAGTAGAGTGGCCGAATGGCTGCTAAAATAAAACATATGAGAAAAATATCAAAGCAGTTGAGTAGTTACCTTCTTGTTGAAATCATCTTCATCTCTTATGACATGAGGATGAATTGAAGGGATAAGAGTGAAAAATCGATTGCTAGCATCAACAATTAAGCTCTCTCTAACAGCAGGATCACTCTTAGCAGTATCATTTAATATATTTTGTATCTCCGTTAACACTTCAAATCCTGAAATTAAAGACATATATCTGTTTATAAAGAATGCAAAGCATTGAGATATTTGCCAAATTTCATTACAACATCACATAGAAAGTAAATTCAAATTGTGCATTGTAATTGATACAAAACAGGTTTTTATACCCTTCTGGATGTTCATCTTGCTTAGCTTCCCAAGTGGCATCTCTGACATATTAATTTCAAATTCCAGCATTGCAGCCCTGAGATTTATTTCTAAAATTGAATTACACACTAACATAAACTAAAAGTTGAAATGAAGAATAAAAAGCAGACACTAACCTGTAAGTCTCAACATTAAAAAGCATCTTCATTAGCTCTGTTAACTGAGGAGCAAGTAGGCTCTTCATTTTTGAAGGATCTTTCTTTCTCGGTACTCGTGGAACACCATAGTCCTACATGAAGATCAAATACCAATTAAACCCACCATCAAAGATGTAAGAAAAACAGAGACTCTCGAGTTGGAGACATGAAAGATCTACACATACAATATCCAGCGGAAAGAATTTGCCTGGATGCTTCTGGAAGTTGTGCTTCTTTTCCCAAGCTTCCCAAGGATTCCCTGTCTTTTCACGAAATAACCGTTTAAATTCTTCAATTGCATCATATTTTGACATCGCGTCCAATTTGAACCCTCCAATTTTATCACTTCCAACACGTCCCCACTTACGGAAAACATAACAATCTGACCCTTTATCCTCTTGGATGATCTGTAGAATATAGTAACTGTAAAAAGAGAAAAAACGGTCAGAATTCACTCGAAGAAAAACTAAATAAGATAACAAGCGCCACTTTAAATGCTTCTGACATGTTGACCAACACGTCTATTTTGTGCATTTAATGTCATTAGATGAAGGAAGATGTAGCACAGTCATGTTTGGGTTCTCTAATGCGTCTCCAACATGGTATTTCACAAACAAACTGCAAGTGCTTTTGTTCATTTATTTGCTCATTTGTTCTTTTCATACTTTATTTTTATTTAAGTTATAGCTTATTTTATGGTGTAGCATGCCATTCGTCCTTACTATATTGCTTGCTCATTTTGTTGTATGGCACGGTATCCTGTCAACATATATCATATATGTACTTAGATTTATCATTTTCACTGAGGGATGACTATTAGAAACTCGGTATATGTACATGGGATGTATATTTTTCGTCAATCATGTATCGCTAAATACCTAAATACTTAAATACTTAATATCCTGACATGTCACCTGTCATTTAGTATTTGAAGTGGTTTCCATGTGCATCCATTCACATCTGCCATTAGAACATTATTGAGTAGATACCAAAAAGAAGATCAACAAAACAATTGAGGAAAGGGAAAAGTTGAGGTCTGGTTCTATAGGGTCCCATTTCTCATTCCCAAAGTTCAACATATGAATGATCATTGGATGGGATTTTATGTGCAATCTTTTCATAATTAAAATAGCCGGTCACTACATAGTGCCCTCAAGCTTCTTAGTTTTATCGTTTCTTGTCAATCTGAGCTCTACTTGAAACTCAAAACTGAACAAGCCAAGTTCAGCTTGTACAAGGCTTTACAAACAATCATATATATGAATAGTGCTTTTACAGATAAATTCAAAACCAAAACTATTATAATTAATTATTGATATAGAAATTGCTACCAAATTCAAATGACCTGAAAGTTCAAAATAATTTAGCATATATGAGGACAAACAATTTGAGCCCAAGATTGATGGTAGGTTCCTGTGGACAAACTTGAACAAGCTAGTTTCAAGCTAGAGATCTTCTTTCGTTATACGATAACTGTTTAATAAGGCTAAGCCAAGCAATTAGATTAGTTAAGAACCCACAAAAGCTCTTTAGAAGATAAAGCTAGTAACTACAAAGGGCGGAATAAACAATTAGATGTGCTAATCAAATTCAAGGTTACAGTAGTAGCCAATGTAAAATGTGGTTAGGGGCCTACCAAAGAACCTGCAGTAAAAAGGCTAAAATGTAGGATATTCAATTTTTTAAAATTCTACGGTCCTCGAAAGATAGTAACTACATTTGTAATAGCTATTGACTGAAAATTTTTACAAAGGATGATTAAGCTGCCAGTTCGCCAATTCTTAAAGGTAGCTGATGACTCAATTTAAAATATTGAATGCTTGTACAAAAATCACGACAACATGCCCAACGTACCACCCGATCTAAATCTTCTTCCTCATTTACTTTAAATCTTTTGGATTGGTTACCATGATGTTTGGAGATTTTATTCTTCATTGATAGCTTATATTATGCTTTCACATAACTCATTTGTATCAAGCTTAGGAAATAAATACTTTTTCGCAACATACAAAACAAGATAAAGGAATATGTGAAGCGGTCATCCAACATATAAATTCCATAGTTATGAAACTTCTGCAGGTCACATGGATGCTAATAAATAATTATGAAACCTTTTTAAGCTTCCCGAGTATGTCTAGCTTAATTGTCAATTACCCCTAATGTCACATGGATGCTAATCTTAAGTTGCATTATATATCATGATGGAAGTACAATAGCATATCATCTCTCTCGTACTGCCAAATACTAAAGCAATCCACCCAACTTTTAAGAATAATTGATCGATCAACCCTTCGCATCTCTTTTTCCCCAATGTACTAAATAAAAATTAGCATAACACCAGCACAGCAGTTGCTAAAGGTTACACATCTCATTTTGTTTAATTTTATTGCTCGCAGAACAAACATCAATGTAGTGAGCTTCAACTTACTCAACTTTGAAAGAAAGAAAATTAACATAAAGCCTATTTAGAGTTAAGGTGAAGCAAAGTAAGAAAATAAGAGTCGAGAACTCAACCAGTTCCAGAAACATATCTACCAGGTTTACCTGTTGACACCAGTTACAAGGTCAGACATATTTAATGTTGTATTATAAATGCTATTCCCATCCTCAAGAATGTGGCCTGTGTCTTGCAAACCAGAGGCCTCATGAACTGCACTCCGACCTTTCACCTTCACAGTTACTGTATCATTTTTTAAAGTCTCATTAGCTGCTTCAACTTTATATAGATCGAATGGAAGCTTCTTGCGTTTCTTTATACACTCGCCCAGGTATTCATCCCTCACAATTGGAATTTTCATCCTCCTGCCATCATGAAAAACTTTAGATGACGTGACTTACATAGAGAATTCCAAGACAATAAAATTAGTAAATGTACAACCTTGCTTTTCTTATTTCTGAATCTGAATTAGCTGCCCCTTCGCATAAAACCAGACAACTAGTATCTGTAGAACAGCAAAAACTTTCAATCAACCTATTATAAATTGATGCAAGCATGTCTGTGAATATGTTAACTTTTTACTGAAGTTGGAACATGTTTTAAATCATTTCCATATGAAGACCATACCTTTAGTGATCTTGGAGTGGACCCTTCCCCCAGCCTCCACAAGCTTCCTCTTCCAATCCTCCTGTTGGCTCTTATAATCAAAATAACAAAGTATTGAGTATGGGGGATAGACAGGTAAAGTACAAGATAAAGAACTAACTACAGATTAAAAAAGAAATGAAATGTTATGTATTAAATATCCAGACAAAACAAAGATATGGTTCAACAGCTCCTCCTTAATAGCCAGTAAGACACAGAAAATGACACATGTTTGAGAAAAAACTTCCGCGAATTCCTTTGCAATACAAAACTTTAATGCCAAATAAATGGATGCCCACACACAAACGGACAAAATTGTTCAACAGCAATCATAATATGCGTGGAATCACGCATAACCCCACCCCACCCACCCCACCCACCCAAAAAAAAAAAAACAAACAAGATATGATACGCACGCCCAACCTACCCATCCATGGCCCCAAATATAAGAAAATAAAACCACATACCATGTCACCAGAAATAGCAATTTTCAGGTCATCCAATCTTTCACTATAATATGTTTGTGACTTGACTGGGGATATCTGACGAACCAAAGATTTACTAGATACTGGAGGAAGGACTCGATCAGGCTTTTTCGCTTTTTGAGACTTTGACCACTGCGAGTATATCATAAATTGCAAATTAATGTCAGCAATTTTTTTAGTGAAGGCAGGCACAACATAACTAGGAATTTATGGAATTCATTCACAAATACCTTTAGAAGATACTCATTTTCTGTCCCTTCAGGGATTATCCATTTTTTCTTGAGTCGCACAGGCTCAGCAGTTGAGTACGAACACTTGCTCCATGCAGACACATAACCATTACAATAATACTGCCCATCAGAGTAACGCAGAGAGCCCGAACAGATAGGGCACTTCCCCAGTGCTCCAAAGAGCATACCATCAGCACTTACACATGACATTACTTTTTGTTAGAATTGTACAAAATGAAGAGAGGAATTTTCTTCTATCATAGCTTAAAAAAGATAACATATTTCAGAAAAGATCCATACAGGCCATGACTTTAATATTGTAAGAATATAAAAATATAATCCTCAACCGTCACCAAAACTTCAAAGTTTTGGTGTAATGGTCACGAGGACTAAATTTAAGATGATATCAGAGCAACCGAGGTTCAAATCCCACCAAGCATGAATTTAAAGCGGATTTTGTAAAATTTGGCACCATTGCGTGAGTCCAGATTTCGGCCCATAAAAAGGGCACTCAACTTATGGGGACATGTTAGAATATATAAAAAAATAATCCTCAAACCTCACCAAAACTTCAGAATTTTGGTGTAATGGTTTGAGAATTTTGGGGTAATGGTTTGAGAATTTTGGTGTAATGGTTTGAGGAACTAAATTTAAGAACAATAAAGATAACAGAACAGTCATGGAAGGATATGTAAGTGACTCATGAAAACAAATGCCGTTCCTCCTTGCATTATACCAATCAAATATGTTGTTCCAAATAAAAATAGATAAAGGCAAGAAAGTATGTAGAGAGGCAAATCCCATTGTTAAAACTTAAGAGAATGTGAACTTCAATATATGAGCCATTTTAGTTACAAATTCACTCTGTAGAGTTTAGATATCTCGTCTTTTAGGAACATCAAAGTGCATTTTGCTCTAATTGCTTCTCTAGGAAGCATTACATTATCAAAAGAGAGTTGGGAATCTTAAGCGAAGTCTTTGCTTTTTCCACAAATAAATAGACTACAGCAGGAGCGCCACCTGAATTAAGGCTTTAGAATGAAAATATTAGCATTTTGAGGCTGGAATCCTGTACCACCTACTGATCCTGTACTACTGTGTTTTACACAAGAAGCCAACTCTTAAGCGTTAACAGAGCTCAGCTCGACATGATAATGGCTTACTCAAGGTTATGGTGGATTACCAAACAAATCTGATTATATTTTTTACTAAGATGCTAAAAGCATGTGCCTTACACTTCCTGCTACATTATCGTGTTTTTTCTACAGAAAGCTTGAGCACTATGTTTTAGACTTCCACTTAAGACTTAAGAGTCGAGACAAAGCCCAAACATGAAACATATACACTTAAGGGTGTGTTTGGCAATCAATGTGTTTTTTTTTTTTTGTTTTTTTTTTTGTAAAAAACACCATGCCATGGTGTTTTTTTTTTAAATGTGTTTTGAAAACACCATTTTGGTCAAACTAGTTTGACCATTTATATAGCGGCAGTGGGCGGGCGGGCTGCGGCGGCTTAAATGAAAAAACGGAATCTCAAAACACGTTTTTAGTGTTTTGAGAAAAGTGTTTAATTTTTAGATTTTTTAAAGGGGCAAATCAAAAAAACGCCCCGGTTGCCAAACGCGTTTCTTTATTTTTGTTGAAAAAAAAACAGAAACAGCAAAAACACCATGGTTGCCAAATGCTCCCTAAATTAACAAAAGGAGTTCAATTGACAGAAATCAAGCATTTCAATTTTAAGGAATTACCTTATTGACAGTTAACATTGAGGTTTTTCAGATCAACACATGGTTGTTTCAATATTAATGTAGGCTTTTCTGGTATGGTTATCAATACACCCAAGTAATTCAAATGTGAGACCAGATTTCTAGTATTGACTAGTGAGTGCTTTTATAAAACAAATGAATATATGAATGATCCAAATATAATAAACGTAATTAATAACTAACAGACATATTTCTGAATGGCTGATGAAGATCATATTACATTTAAAAAATCTTTAATAATTGAAAAGCATTAACAGAGCATTATTTTCCAATAGTTATCGTAGTTAACTTAAATGTTATAGTATGGCCAGATTTTCCACATTCTATTCATTTTTCTTTTCATGCTTGTGTCAAAACCTTAAAACTTAACAGACCTTTTGCAGGATATATGCCATCAATAAGACTTTTCAGGAACACGTGTACTGTCATTTTTTTTTATTTAGCCGTTAGTATGTCAGTCATTACATCACTTTTTTGTAATAACAAATAGGTAGATGGATGAACTCTTTTAACACCCATACCGTTCAGTTTCTATGTATCCTAGCTACAAGGAATTGGACTTAGATTAACAGTTGGATGAACAATAAAAATGTCAAAGAGAAACAAATCACGTGCAAACTCCTAAGATTCATGAAATCAACAAAGATGAACGGTATCATGTCAAACTGATTTAACACTAATAACCAAAACAATTTAAAAAGGAAAATGATTGGTACAGTATTTTATGCCAATTTGGTTAAAAAGAATTACCATCGCTCTCGTAGATCATTATCTGATCCTCCTGAATCTTGATCGTTAGCTTCAAGCATTTGTCGTAACATTGCAGTAGTTACATTCTTTTTAAGCCCATCTTTTATTTCCCATAGCGCATTAGTTTGTTCTTTCAGCTTACTTTCTAAATCAACAGCCTTGCCACTACTTGAAGACCCACCAGCTAATACATCTTCATTTGATTTTGAAACTTTAGTTTTCTGTTCATCATTCCCATCTGTTTTACGTTTAGCGCCTTTAGTCTGTTCAGAAGCTGCAGCTTTTTCTTCCTTTCCTGTATCCTCTAAAGTTTCATGGAGAAAAATATGAGAAAGCTATACAGAAGTGAAGTCCTTGTACCAGAAGATTCCCACGCAACAAATATAAGCTTATTACCTCTTTTAGTGGTAGAAGAATCCTTTTTAACACAAGAAGAAACAGCTGCTTTTTCTTCAGATGGAAGATTGTCCCAACCTGAAACTTTCTCTACATTAACTGATGGAGACATCTGTATGAAGCAGTGGACATGGTGCCAGGCTACACCCCTAGCACCCTGACCCTCTGGCTTGGTTGAGATGCGAACCTAACATAAAATTAGAAATTCAGAGATCCTATTATTAGCATCTTTTTCCTCAATGATATGTAAGAAAAAAATCAAGTCTGTTAGTCCCCTAAACAGCAGAAAAGAGAAGGCGATAAAACCAAAGTTGATGGAAGTTTTAACTGTAGTCCATCAAATAGTCAAAAATCAAGCCAAAGCATATGATGAATTTCTCAAATTATATCGAAACTATGTTGGACTAGTTTACTTAGACCTGATAACCAAGAACAGTGGCACAAGCCACTCCCACTTTATGGTATCAGGTTATCTTTTAGGACTGCAATTCAGGCCAGGCCATCTATTAGCACTTAGTTACTTAGACCTGATAACCAAGAACAGTGGCACAAGCCACTCCCACTTTATGGTATCAGGTTATCTTTTAGGACTGCAATTCAGGCCAGGCCATCTATTAGCACTTAGTTAGATAAGAGCAGACATACTAGTTCTTTCACGCTAATAAGTTGTTCCTACAACACCAGGACCATCTTTGGTTAAAATCATTTTCGTATCATAGTATTAAAAATAAAGCGTTGAACTTCGCAAAAACAGCATAGACAAGAATCACTCAAGAATCATCACAGACATTTAAGGAGATCAATAAGCCAAAAAGTTGGATTCTCTAATAGCATGTTCAACGAGTTATTAAGCCAGGTCCACGCACATATGAAGTGTTGAACTTTGCAAAAACAGCATAGAGAAGAACCCACTCAAGAATCACAACAGATTTTTAAAGAGACCAATAAGCCAAAAAGTTGGATTCTCTAATATCATGCTCAACGGGTTATTAAACAAGGTCCATGCACAATAACAAACTTGCTAATATTTAAGGGGAGTAACACATTAACTGGGAATTATGAAACCACAGGATTATGGAAAGAGAACCCCAGGTACATCAAGAGCTTTAGGCCACTAAAGAGGAATATCAGATTAAAAGAAAACATCAATTATGAAAAAAAGAAGCTTCTTGCAACAAATATGGTAGTGTCTTTTACAATGTAAAGAACATGACAGGAAAAAAACAATTGGTAGTATGGGTCTTTTCGGGTGATCATTTTTCAGGTAGGTGAGTGCCTAGTTGGGGTGCTTTTTTTGTTTCTTTTAATGCTGTGTTGGAGCGCTATTGATGCTTTCTTTCTCTGTTTCTTTTTCTTTATTATCTTTTCTTTTCTTCTTTTCAGTGCGGGTGCCAGTATGGGTGGTGTGGCAACTAGTTTTGGTGGAGCGCAGGTTAGGTTTGTTTGCAGATGCAACTAAATGGGGGTGAATTTCAGAGTTTGGATTCAAAATGACTACCACACATCTACCATATTATTTCTCCTGTTGCCATAATGAACTTAACAGAAATCCCTACAGCAAATGTATCATAAGGAATTTCCAATTACATTAGATACCACTGACACTTTGAATCCAGTGTCAGTAGCCAGTAGACCTGGTAGATATTAAAGTTAAAACCCCTTTTTTTTTAAGTTTCCATCTATCACATATGTACCATATTTTATGGACATTTACATAACTTTCTGCATATTAACCACTTCCAAGATTAGTCGCGACTCTGGCTGGCTGGGACTTGCATGAGGATGCTGATGTGGTGCCCTGTGATAGACGGGCTAACTTAGTACAGGTGAAAGTGTGGATCTGTTACTTGAATTACATGTTCAGATAAAAGATCCAAAATGTTTTCTAGGCCTTTAATCATCTTTCATCTCTGCTCACAGAGTTTTGAGATAATGTGGTGTAGGTGAAAGCTTAGATAGATAGGCTGATATTCAAGTATGCTAGGGGCTGTACATGCAGATTGACATGTGAATAAGCATCCAAATGGATGGACAGTAAGGGCCAGATTGGCAACCTCTCAAAACTGGGCCAGGATCAACCTCTCAAAACTGGGCAGATTGATCCTGGCCCAGTTTAGAGATAACCTGTTCTGTTTTGATCCATGTTTTGATCTACGGAGGGGGTGGATCAAAACAGAATTGGTTCTGGGGTTTTTTCTTGGCCTAGGAAAAACTGGGTCAACACTAAGCCAAGATTTCCCCAGACAAGGTTCTTTCCTAAATGGGACCAGGATCAATCCCGATTTCATTTTCGAAGGATGCCAAACAGGCCCTTAGTGTGCGTTCATTTTTTCCATATCTAAAACCAATGTCGCATGGGAACGGGTACCGGTACCGGTACGGATAATGGCAGATTTGTAAAAGGTAGGGTACGGGGACACAACTATATAAATATTTATATATACATATTATTATATATTGAAATTAATAAGTTACATGAAATCGGTATTGTTTTTCATTCATGTGTTATAAGAATCAAAAATTCCTATAACATTTTTATCTTTATTTTATTATGTGGATTATAAATTAGAAAATCGCTTGTCTTTTAACTAGATACCCAAATGACCCTTCCGAATCATAGTTCAAAACCCAACATATGTCCAACGAGTTTCAAGAAGTGGATGTGAACTCTAGGATATACGTCCAAGAATTGTATGACAAGTGTTATAAGTTCACTTTAAACACATATTGTATAATTGAGTACATGCCGAATAAATGTCTTGCATATTTACAAGGAGTGTTGAAGGAGTTTGGGTACGGGTATGTGTCAGACTGTCTGGTACCGCTCCACATAGAAGTACCCAGGTAACATAGACTAAAACATATTGATTTAGTACATATCAATTATCAGTATAATTATGACTGGTAAGCAGAATCCCTATGAAGTTTCATTATAGGACCATAAAAACATAAGTTAGACCCATAAGAAATTTGGAGATAGATAGGGTCAAGTTAGTCCAAGGAACAAAATTGGACTCCAAAAATAACACATAAATTGATAAAGGCGTCTCGAAGTAATATTGAACCATTTGATAAGATACTGACCGTTCCTTTGATGATCTTCTCGTTGCAGCGCTTACAAGTAGCACGAGAAGTTTGAGAAACTTCTATAGCACATTCACTGTCAGCAATAGCAGTTCCAGTAGAAGTAGTTTGCATAGAACCATCTTCGACATACTTCCGTATTTTTTGTTGATCCTCCCAACGTAACAAGTCTATGCCTTCAACATCATCAAAGCTGGTGAAGATTGTCATAAGAAATAATCATTTATATAGCTCAATTTGCTTTAGAGACTTGAACTGATAAAACATAATCTCAAATATTGACCGAAAAGTTAATCCACAATCTCACGCAGAGAAGATGAGTAAAACATACGATTTAATCTGCTTTGCCTTCTTGAGGACACAACTAGCATGATTCCACATCTGATCAACAATGAAGAAATTAGCATAAAAAACAATGAAATATGCTGAACAAAAATAAATCACACTAACTAGAGAAAGAGAGCCCATTTTGAAACGATAACAGTTTGTTACTTTCTGAGTAGTAGATGAATTATATTTATATTGTAGACACCAGACGAATCAACAGTTTATTAAAAAATCCTTAAGAATCAATATATATTTTCAAATCTCTGCATAAAAAAGGACCAAAAGACTTTGATTTCCGTTTCCACAACCATGATCATACAAGTCACACATATGACTTCACACTGACATCGGTCAACACATCGTCAATATTGAAATAGTAACATGGAACTATATTATTATACATATTACTATAAAAAAAGAATAAAAAGCGAAAAAAATTCTATTTATATAATAGTTATGATAATGGGCTGTCTAAATTGAAAATTCATGAAAAATATAGGTTCAATAATGTAATAACAACAGATTTATTTCAACATCTTTTGTGGAACTTCCCCTAGTTTGAACCTTCCTCTAAAGGCAATTCATCTTTAGTCAACCAAATTCACAGAAATATCTAATGGACTAAAATAAAACACGTAGATTGCATTATGCACGTGTAAATCATCCATTCACTGAGATACAAGAAATTCAACAACAGATAACATTTGAGTTAATTAGTAGTCTGTAGTAGGTTCTCCAACTTGAATGGATTCATCACATAATCATAAAAATAGAACTAGAGCTCGATTCCTACAGCAAGATTGCTTCTTTAAGCCACAAATGTTCCATAAATTCCATAAAAATCATCAGAAAACATTTCAACTTAATCTTCAAGATCCTGCACCGAATCAGTAAAGCCAAACCCAAATCAAGAAACCACCATTTCTTGAGAAATTACCTAAAAAGGAATGCATTAAAAACCTAACATTGGAAAACTAGGGTTAGGGTTTTTTTTTTGTGATCACCGGCATGAAACCGTCGAATTGCTTGGCGGTGACCATCTTGCCGAGGCGCAGCTGGTCCTTGTCGATGACAGACTTGCAGGTTTTGCATGAAGACCGCCCCGATTTCGCGTACTCGGCCCTCCAGGGTTTCGGCGGCGTCGCCATTGATGAAAGTACTGCGGGGGAAGGGGGTAATTGGTTCTTGAGGAGTGGCTATCACTCTGCTGTCTCGTGTCAAGAAAGCTGGCGCAATTTAGCAGGGAAGGGACACGTGTGAAGATGGAGAGGTGAGTTTGTTGGACTCCTGTTTAAACGACTGCAATGTGACCGCGTTGTGGGCCCACCGATCTGTACAATAAGAAAGGGCCACGTCATTGGAGGATAGACTCATTTTTGCTGGGCTCTTTTTTTAAGGTTCGCAAAGTATACTTTTTTCTATTATTCGTAAAACAGGAACAACAAAAGTTTTTATTTTTTTTATTTGGGAGGAAGAGCACATATTCGACTTTCCGGATCTTTCAAAGACTAAGGCCCCGTTTGTTTTGAGGTTTTTACTCCGGGGAGGGGCTGGAAAGCTTTCTCCCCAAAACGCCTCTTAAGAGGCGTTTTGGGGAGAAAGCTGTCACAATGGCAGCTTTCCACCCCCTCCCCGAGGCAAAAAACTCAAAACAAACAGGGCCTAATGTATTTTATTTAACAAAGGGCTAAAGATACTTTTATTTTTTTTTTAAGAAACTCCCTCAACTTTGGATAATTATTAGATAAACTTTCATAAATTTATCAGAAAATGTTATTTAATTTTAGAATTTTTATCAGGAAACATTCTTAACCAACACTAACTACAACATGGAAAAAATGTGTTAAGGCCCCAAAATAAGAAATCTCTTATGGCTAACCCCCTGTATTATTTTTAATGTGAGACAGCTCCTAATACATCAAATAATTATGTTTTAGCCCCTACACACTCCTCCAAGTCAGCACAGGGAGAAGTTTTTTGCAAAAACTCAATTCTACGCCTTAACTCGTTTCCACCAAAATTGTCTTGCTCTCTCTCTCTCTCTCTCTCTCTCTCTCTCTCTCTCTCTCTCTCTCTCTCTCTCTCACCAAAATTGTCTTGCTCTCTCTCTCTCTCTCTCTCTCTCTCTCTCTCTCTCTCTCTCTGTCTGTCTTCTCTCACTCAAACCCCCATAAACTTGAGAACCTAAAATCGAAACCCTAGTTTTCACTCAAACGTCCACAAAACCCGACAAATTTTTTTGCTAAAAAAAGAGGAAAATAGCCAAGAACCCTAATGTAAAGAAGGGTGAAGGAGACAACACACAATACAAAGTGGTTCATCATCGGCATCGCTCAGTTGATGAAGAAGACTGCGCGAGAATCATCCTCCTCCGCCTCTGCATCCTTATCCCCCCGCCAGCGGTTCTTCTTCTCCGACGTCCTCTGAGGATGAGGATAGTAACGATGCAATGTTGGCCCTGTAGTGCATGAAAAAGGGACGGGAATTTCAAGAACACAGGAGGATATGTTCGACAGAGGATGTGCCCATCTATAAGAACAAGTAAGTTCTCAATTAACTTCGAAAATTTTGGTTTTGAAATTAGTTAATTTTAGTTATAAGTATTTTGTAAAACTATGGTGTTGGATATTAGTTGAAAATTTGAGCGGGAAAAAGAAATAATGTTAACAATTTACTTGTTTAAAATTTGTCACGCCCCGCTTCCCAAAATATCGAGAATCGGAACGTGAACAAGCCCACAACGTATTAGATTAAGGAGAATAAATAAAAATAAACATTTCTCCTCAACCTAATACGCTAAGCGTCAAGAAATAAATGCAAAGGCATAGGTCCCCGATCACAGATAGCGAGAATATAATAAACAACTCAGAATTAAAATAATCTATATCACAAATAATATATCATCCGAGACACAAAGTTTGGGTCAAACATGTCCTTATACATGACTGAACAACTGAGTACTGAAGAAATATAAAATACATCGTTCAATAGGAAAGAAAAGAAATACTGCAAAAGCAACTAGGACCATCAACTAAGAAAAGATAACAAAGCTTCGGCCTATGTCACGCCCCGCTTCCCAAAATACAGGGGAACCAGGACGCGAGCAAGCCCGTGACGTATTAGATTAAGGAGAATAAATAAAATTAAACATTTCTCCTCAACCTAATACGCTAAGCGTCAAGAAATAAATACAAAGGCACAGATCCCCGATCACAGTGGCGATATTATAATGAACAACTCAGAATAAAAAAGAGACATATCACGAATAGAATATCATCCGAGACACAAAGTTTGGGTCAAACATGCCCTTATTACAAAACAATCCAACTAAAATAAGAAAATACATAGTCCAACAAAATAAGAAGGAAGTACTGTAAAAATAACTAAGTCCCTCGAAAGACTAAAGGATAATGTACTACATAAGTAATCTAGTGTCCATCAGTGACTACGTGAAAGAAAAGACTAAGCTTCCGTCTGTTCTTCTGTTCCACCTGGAAGACACTCCGACTGGGCATACTCCTGCTCTAATGCATTATTATATTAGACCTGTCTGTCCTCTAAATCTGACGTACACCAGAGAAAACAGGTGTACGTCAGCGTGTATGGCACACGGCAAGATCCCACAAGGAAAGAATAGAACGATCGTGCGACCAATGCAATAATAGTAATAACAATGGAAACATGCAACTGAAATACTATTAATCTAAATATAATTTACTATTAGAATAGAATAATCAGAATAAATCCAAGGAAATCAACCAAGTAACAAGTCGATCATGCAGCTAGCAATCAGAATAATCATCCAAGTACAAGGTCATACACTAGCTGGAATTAATACTTAAAAATCTACAACTCGAGACGTAGTACGTCGAGCGAAATAATCCAAACAAGGAAACCCTCATGTATATACCCTCATGTATATACCATAGTCTCAAATTGTAGATAATTAAATATTAATCTTGATCTATGTATAAAAAGAAATATAACTGATCCATATCTCACAACAACTCATAATCATCCGAGTAACGATGTCGTGTAACTAACCATTCTATAACAGGTCATTGGTACATATCTCATATAGAGTCAATGTTCCTGCCATCGGATAACTAACTGTTCACAAATCCTCTACTTGCATCCAATCCCGCTACACATGCGGCCTAGAAGACTACACGCAATCTGTTTCTGCCTGGTCCGAACTTCAAACAGAACCCGGGTGACGAAATAAATTTCCCACTGACCAAAGTGATGTACACACTTCACTTTAGCCCTACAAACCAACCCCAGTGACGACACCAACCACTGGTGCGAGTCTGGAAGATACATCAACAGTCTTATCCGATCACATGAACATTAACTTCTCCATCCCAACTCTTCTCGTTTTTCTAAATCAACCATAATCCTCATTAAAACTCGGGTTCACCACATAAACCAGTCAACACACTCACACATGTCACTAAGTCTGTTCATGACGCACGAGGCAACTAAGTCATAAACTCCTAACGGTTCTCAATCACAACAAGGAATAATCAATGCAACTAATCATGTACAATAATATCATAGCATATCACATAATCAAGTCTAAGAATTTGAACCATAAAATTGTTCTAAAATAATAAAGTTATTTACTTAAAATAATTCCTTTTACAAAATGAGTTCTTTCAAAATAATCCTTTTTTCAAAATAAATTATTTTCTCATTATAATAATTCTAAAAATAATCTTTTAAAATAATAAATTCATAAATAATCTTTTTATAAGATAAATTCTCATTAATTCAAAATAGTCGATTTTCTCAAAATAATTTCTTTTTAAAAATATTTATCATTCTAAAATGATTTCTTCCACAAGATAATTTCTAAAAATTATTATAATTATTCTAAAATGATTCTTTTTCCAAGATAATTCCTTTTAAATTATTATAATTTTCCTAAAATGATTTCATTCTCAAATAAATTATTTTTAATTAATATAATTATCCAAAAATGATTCTGCTACCGAAATAAATTCTTTTAATTTATCATAATTATTCTAAAAATACTATTTATCACATAATTACGATTTATCTAATATTATTCATCAAACAATCTCATGCAGATAAATATATCAGACCTAAAATTACAGATAATTCATAATAAATACAAAATTTAGATATGAGCAAGTGGGATCTTACCTCGGGTACGTCGTCAACTACTGCGGGGCTTGTCGGGGTGGTTGCACGGCGTTACGACGGGTTTCGCGGAATCAACGGTTAAAATTACAACTTAGAGTGTTATTGCGACGTGTGATATTCAAACGAATATAACGAGGTGTAGATAAGGAACCTAAGTAAAAGGAATATACCGTGTGATAGACAACATGAAGGGCTACACACCGGCGAAAACGGAGACCGAAGGTGGCCGGAAAGCGCGTGCAAAGTCGGCACGAATATGTCGGAATCCGCGAACTGCTTCCGTCGAGCGATGTTTCGGACGTTACTGAGAGAGATATAGAGTGAGTTAGAGCGTGATACAAATTAGAGGTGATAGGCAACATGTAGGGCTACTCACCAGAGAAAAAATCGATGAAAACGGAGGTCGGAGGTAGGGATGTCAAATGGATGGTTTTGGTTGGGTCTTGGTTGGGTCATAAATGGGTGGACATATTTATGACCACTTGACCATTTATGACCCATTTAGCATTTGCTAAATGGGTCAGTTCTCAACCACCCATTTACTAAATGGGTGGTTCATGGGTGACCCAATAACCCATTTAGTTATGATTATGATGCTTCTATATATATGTAAGTTTTAGGGATCTACTTGTAAACTTTTAGGGGTTTTTGGCAAACTTTTAGGGTGGTTTTTTACAAACTTTTAGGGGGTTTTCTGCAAACTTTCAGGGGGTTTTCTGTAAACTTTTAGGGGGGTTTTGCAAACTTTCAGGGGAGTTTTTGCAAACTTTCAGGGGATTTTTTGCAAACTTTTAGGGGGTTTTCTATAAACTTTCTGGGGGGTTTCTGCAAACTTTTAGGGGGTTTTCTGTAAACTTTCAGGGGATTTTCTGCAAACTTTCAGGGGATTTTCTGTAAACTTTCAGGGGTTTTTTTGTAAACTTTTAGGGTTTTTTTTGCAAACTAAATTAATTAGTCTGTGCAAAGAATGTGGGACTAA